CCTTGCTCAAGGGCACCTCAGTCGTGGTATTGAAGGTGGGAGAGAGCGCTGTACATTCACTCCCCCCACCTTCCTGCCGGACCTGAGACTCGAACTCGCAACCTTTGGGTTACGAGTCCAACTCTCTAACCATTAGGCCACGACTTCCCACCAGTCGGGCGCCACAGGGCGCCACAGCAAATATAAATTCATGTCTTGCGCACTTTAATGCCCTTTGAATGTAACGTGTACGTTCCCTTGGAACTGGAATCATGGCGAAATTTCATGTGAAGTCCACTTCGCAGGGCACTTACGGTCGAATAAGACAACGCTTGAATGCTGCTGCCTGAAGAAGAGAGCTCCTTACTGAAGTGAAAGTGTTGATTGGTGTCACTATCTCACGAACTTGCCGGCGGATCTCCACCAAATTCGGGGGATCCCTTCAGCTCGAGGAGCCCTCTCGAACGCCACCCTCTACGCATCGCCGTTCAAAGTTTCAATGGTTTTCCATAGACTAAGCTTTAAAGCGTTTCATCCAGGTCGCCAGTAGCAAACAATGGAGCGCGCTCTGCTGGACAAACTAAGTAATTACACCATTTCAAGCATTTTATCTGCGTTATACGTTCTGTAAAAAAATGTTCATATCTGCGGCATATTCGCCGATACCGATATATCGTCGACAGGCTCATATCGGCCGATAATATCGGCAAAACGATATATCAGTCGGGCTCTAGTAAAAACTGTTTAGAAACAGTCTTACACATCCTGCCACGACTGTTGTGTTTTTACAATGGCATGACAAGGTAAAAATAAAACATTGCGTTCCATATAGCTGTTCTTGAACGCAAGAACCAGTGTTTTTTTTAGTATTATTTATATATTTTTCATTAATATTTTGAATAAGCTTTCATTTTGATTTTTTTTTTAGTTTCAGCAAGTTTCAGCTTTTTAAAACTATTTAAATTTAAGCTATAGTTTATTTCATATTTCATAAATATGAAATAATTCGTAAAAATTACTTCGTGAAATAACTCATTTCATAATTCGTAATTATTTTATTTCAGTTTTTTTTTGGTTCAAGTTTATCTTACACTAAAATTTTATCTTATTTCAATAAACAAAAATTTTTTTAAATAGAAAAATTGAATATACTGATTAGATAGAAATAGAAAAATAATTTTTAATAGTTTTAGTTAACAATAACAACAATGGCAAGAACATATTTTATGTAAACACCCCCTAAGAAACATGTCTGATCAGGGTTGGTTCAACCTGAAACCAACCAATAATTCAGGCCTGAAATGAACCACTAACTCAGGGAACTAACTTGAACTAACTACTTGGAAATGTAGTTTTGCATATCCTCACAAACGTTATGCATTAGAAACTGGCATTTTATTGTGATTACACATAAGCAGCTGCTGCTAGCACACACTCAGATGAAGCTGTGCATTTACTACAGATCCACTCATTAACAGGAGAATGCTGTCGGCCTTATGGGAAACACCCACCATTAAACACACTCAAAACATGATTAAGTCACTGCACACATGAGACATGCACAACCCAGTTGATGTTTTCATTATGCACTGCATGTTGTTCTGCTGGCAGCTGCAAGGGAAACTCCACACATCATGAGGAACAAAACAATTGTATATGAATCAAATCTGGTCGTCTTGGGCTGCTGATATTCTCCCTTAGTGATGTGGTAAAGATAGCTGGCTGGAATGAAAGTGGTTTTACAAATAGCATTAAAATATTTCCTGTTCAAAAGTTTGTGGTCTGTAAGATTTTTTAAAATGTTTTTGAAAGAAGTCTCTTCTGTTCACCAAGGATGTATTTATTTGATCATAAATACAGTAAATTATTAAAAGTATTAAAATAGCTTTTCTATGTAAATATATTTTAAAATGTAATTTATTGCTGTGATCAAAGCTGAATTTTCAGCATCATTCCTCCAGTCTTCAGTGTCACATGATCCTTCAGAAATAATTCTAATGGGCTGATTTGCGGCTCAAGAACCATTTCTGATTATTATCAATGTTGAAAACAGTTGTGCTGCTTCATATTTTTGTTGAAACCATAATTTCTGCATTTTTCAGGATTCTTTGCTAAATAGAAAGTTAAAGAACAGCATTTATTTGAAATAGAAATCTTTTGTAACATTATAAATGTAACTTTTGATCAATTTAATGCATCCTTACTGAATAAAAGTATTAATTTCTTTCAAAGAAAAAAAAATCTTACTGACCCCAAACTTTTTAATGTCCAATAGAGGAACGAGAAGTTCACTTCTGTTAGTCTAGGTTTCTTGCACTAAATTTAGGTTGACAAGATCATTTCTAGTTTTAGATTTCGATAACAGCTGTTATGACTGGCCAACATCCACAGACTGGTGTAGTTCACAGTCATACATCAAATAGTCAACTGATTCATCTATATTTTTCTACTTTTTTTTACAAAAAAGAAAATTTCTGTTTTCTATGATACGACCCTTGAATTGTTGTGTAACACTGTGAGAAAGAGTCCAGACATGTGTTCGGGGTCACAGACTGCGACGGCCACTCCCTCATTGAAATGCATTTTTGGTTCTGTGACTTCACTGCAGTTGTATCCTGTTATATATAATAAGATCACAGATGGACAGTATCAAGAGAGCAGACAGACAGAGAGGAAACCATGAGAGGGAAACAGCTGGAACAGACACTTCCCATTTGTGTCGGAGAAATGCTCCGGGCGTATAAAACCAAGACACAAGCAAACCGGTAAACATCAAGTATGTGATTTTTACATGTGAAAACACTATAAAATGTTTAATTATTCTGGTTATATCATGGAAAACAGGTTGTTTTTTTGCTTATTTTTATTAACACTTTTATTCAGAAAGGATGCATTAAACTGATCAAATGTGACAGTAAATACATTTATAATGTTACAAAAAAATTATATTTCAAATAAATGCTGTTTTGTTTTTCTTTCTGTTCATCAAATAATCCTGAAAAAATTATATCACTTTTTCTACTAAAATATTTTGCAGCCAAAACGGTTTTCAACATTTATAATCATAAGAAATGTTTCTAAAATCAGCATATTAGAATGATTTCTGAAGGATCATGTGACACTGAAGCTGCTGAAAATTCAGCTTTGCATCACAATAATAAACGACATTTTAAAATGTTCAAATGGAAAAGTTATTTTGAATTGAATCAGTTTTTACTCTATTTTTGATCAAATAAATGCAGCCTTGGTGAGCAGAAGAGACTCTCAAAAACATCAAAAACCCTTCTGAACCGTCAAGATTATGACGTCACAGCCACTTGACTTGTTGGGATTGGGTTTTATCCATCAGGAATAGGGTTGGATACCGAAACCCGGTACCAATATGGCACCGGTACCTATGTAACCGGTATGTACTAGAACCGAATCCGAACGCAGATTTCGGTGCCTCATTTCGATGCCATGCCTGAGCGATCGATTGAAATATTTGTCCTCTGGTTCTCCGAAACGTTTGGCACCGGTATCGAAAAAACCCAAATGATACCCAACCCTAATCAGGAACTGACTGTGTAAGAAGTGTAAATTGCAATGTCATGCTGACTTATGATTCAGCTAGTGAAATTAATCTTTTGCCTGTAAGTATGACGACAAGCTCTGCTGTGAACTATATGGGAATTCCTGACCACAACTCATTTATTCCAGAATATAAGGAATGCTATGCTGGACCTGCTTATTAACAAAGTGTTTTTCCCTTTCACGTTTCTCTTCCTTCTCTCGGTTTGCCTCACTCGCTCTTTCAATTCTGTAGCTTTCGCAACGAATGCAGGTCACACTTCCTCAGATTTTGAAACTTCACAAACACGTACTTGGGCAAGACTGGTGCTGGAGTGGAGTTGCTGGTGACGGAGTTATTGGTGGTGTTGTTCTGTACAGGTGAAGAGTCCTGGGTCCGTGGCACCTTTCCCATACGGTACCAGATCCCCATATTGTTCAGCTCTCTGGGAGGAAATAATATAAATAATATAATATCAATAAAGACAGCAAGCGCTTTGTACAGCCAGAGATTCAGATACCGCAGGTTGAGAAAGACACATCAAAACAAATAGATTTCAGCCTCATGACAATATATTAAAGATGTGGAATACTGCTCTGAAAGTGTTTTTTTTTCTTCCAGGAATCATTTCAGGATATCTGCATGTTTTAAAACATTATGATTTCTAAATGCAAAGACATCCCCCCCCCCCCCCCCCCCCACGGACCAAAAGGTCTGAATACTTTCCGTACCCACTGTATAATAAATATAACAGCAATATTTGTCTAAACACACTTTAAAACATTTCAATTCATGCAAAACGCCATGGGGACTTCCTTTGAAAACTTCACTGACCAAATATAAAGCTGTTAGGTAACATTGATGTTCCTAATGTTGTTTAATTTTATATTGTCAATAAAAAAAATCATCCCAAATATAACTAATATTTCACCTGCACAATACTATTAATTTTCTCACTTAATATTAACACATATTGGTAGGACAGTCTAGGCCACAAGTTCTTGTGTATAGAGACTAACTGACCCTATGAATGTATACTGTGGCGGTGCCTGTTTAGAGCGTCCTAAGATGCGGATATCACAGATGGCAGCTTCAGTGGAGTCTCTCGGGATGAACTTGATACATAACCTCCTCTTCCTGAAGGCCGGCTCCTCTGGAGAGAGAAAGAGAGGAACGGGACATGTTGAAGAAAGTGAAAGGGAGACGGAGTTCACAATAGAAAGAGCAAAGAGACAGAACGAGGTCAGCGCTGGATTTCAAAGAGGATCATTTCACACAATCGATTAATTATTTAACACGAGATAGAAACCAAATCCACAAGCTTTTAAAACACCACATATCAGGCTGCATGTCTAAAAGCATATACATCAGTGGAAAACAAACTCCTTTTTACTCTGATCTGGAATGTCACTGGTAGATTTTAGCTGTAACAATGCATATCAAGTATGGAAAAACTAAGAAAATAATGGTTTTAAAGATACATCAGCTGTGATTCAACTGAAATAGCTGGAGAATGCAGCTGTAAATGAACGAGAGGAGATTCATGTGGTGCTTACGTGTGTCCACAGTTTCCTGAATGGGAATGAATCCCACAGGCAGCGTGTCCTTGATGTCGATGAGCATCATGTCTACAAGCACATTTCCTAAATGACTCTGTGGAGAGATACAGGAAGCACATATGGGAGAATGTGAACAGACAACATCTCTACCAGTGCCCTTGTTTGCATGCTTTGTCTGGGATTTAACATTATAACTATATGCATAATAACAATAATAATCAAAACAATGTTAGTCATGGTTTCTTGTATCAAAAACCAGAAGTCATTTAGATTTTACATAACCAATTTCCACCCTGTCTAACTCTTACAATAAAACAGGCTGTTTGTTACTTTCAAAACAGCATAGTTTATACTGAGGAAGAACTGCATAAACTATTTCCTATTTGAAACTGTAAAGCAGCTTTGCCACAATCTGTATTGTATAAAGTGCTATATAAATAAAGGTGACTATACTGTCATTTGTTTGGGCAGTTCAAGCCACTAAATATGTGTTGATGTCAAACACTGACAGTCATATGTGACCCGTGCTGGCAAAATGAGTCGTCTAGCGATCCCAATGCTCCAAATAATAATTTTAGATGTTTAATTACCTTTATTTGTACGTTTTCTGAGAGGAGTACCTTTTCTCCACTCGCTTCTCACGCTGACTGTCATCCGAAGCGTGTGCATAAAGGCACTTCCGACAGCGCGATCCCGATAAATATACACATATACACAGAATTACAGTATTTAAGTATTCACGCAAACATAATCTGTTACGTCTTAAGTGAACGTTTGGGGAACTGTTGGGGAAAAACATCTGATAACATTATATTAGATCCGTGCATTACAGTAGGTCTTAATATAGGCCGTCTCATTAATGTTAATCTAACAATAAAAGAAAAGAGGGAATCACTTGCTGCTCTTGATTGAACTGCTTTTGTAGTTTTAATAAATAATGTATTTGTAATTAACACGCTAAAGGGATTTTTACATTTTGATTATTTGTTTTTCTTACTCGAATGCTTTTGTTTATATGTCAAATTAAAAAGTTAATGCATTGTTTCTTTCTTATATTTGTTCTACTGTTTTTTTTGCATCTGTTCTTATAATAACAAAGATAAAATAAAAAATAGCTATATTGTGATTATTAATATAGTAATTATTATTAAGAAAAGAACTGGAGGAAAAGATGCAACGTTGCTCTGGGATTTTGTATTGGAATCTTCAGAAAACTTTAACTCGATTTTTCTCAAAATTGACTTTGAGCTACACCCGTTTGAAGTTGACAGAGTCAGCAGTAATTTTTCATCCGATTCTAACAAATCATACATCATTCTGAAGGTCTTTTGGTTTTAATGAACATATAAATAACTAATTTTTAAAAATTTGCTCATTGTGACTCATTTTGCCAGCACAGGTCACATATGTTCATTATGGATGCAGTGCAAAGCATCAATTTAACAAAAATTAAATGCATCAATCCCAACACAGTCTTGTCTTCTTTTTATTGCAAAGTATAATTTAATAATTTCTTATTAATTTCTTTTGAGCTTCTACTGAATTGTATTACATGGCTTTACTTTAGTACAGGATGTCCTGTGTTTTTCCCCCCAGAAGATTTTTATTTATTCATTTATTTTTGTCAAACTTTTACAATAAACAACAGCTATTGAACCACTAAACATTTAAGCGGTTTTAAAATTCTTTTCGCATGAGGTTTGTCCCAGAAAGAAGAATGAGACTAAACACCGCAGGGATGACACAAGCGGAAACAGCTTTGTTTTCATGAACAAAAAGAAATTGTATATAAAAACAAATAGACGAGATCCTGTGGCACATTACAGAGGGCTCGTCAACTCCAGCAACATATTACATTATATAAACACTCCAGCATGAACACGTTCTGGATCTTTTAAACGGTCATCCGCCTTTTGGCCAGACTGAAGTAGCTCAGTAGTACAGCGTGTTGTAAGGCATGTCTCAAGAGCCCAATGCAATGCAATGCAATGCAATGAAATGATAAATAAAAAATAAAATAAAATCACATTTAAATCAAATGTAAATAATATAAAGTATTTTTTTAAAACAAATAAATCAATAAATATGAATATAATATTTGGCCAGACTGAAGTAGCTCAGTAGTACAGCGTGTTGTAAGGCATGTCTCAAGAGCCTAATGCAATGAAATGAAATGAAATGAAATGAAATGAAATGCAATGCAATGATAAATGAAAAATAAAATAAAAAATAAAATAAAAAATAAAAAATAAAATACCATTTAAATCAAATGTAAATAATATAAAATATTTTTTTAAAACAAATAAACAATAAATCAATAAATATAAAGGACACATTTTTATTAAAATGTTTTTATATTAAGGAAATTATTAAGCATACTTCATCTAGAAGCCATCACAGCAATGCTGTATTAACAAATCAGCATCTAGGATTACAAATGTCAATTTGTAAAATGTTACCGTACTTCAAAGAAACCTCCTCAATTATCTGATAAAGAGCTGAAGAAATTACTCACGTTCTCTTTGGAGAAAGCCCTGGTGAAGCACAGATAGCGGGTCACCTTGGATTTGAACAGACCGTCTTTCCACAAGTCTGCATCGATCCCATCTGTGGTTTGTGCAACCTAAAAAGAATACAAAGATTTTATTTGATTATGCATTATAAAAGTGTTTCTTTTTTTCCATTTGCAAAAGGTCACTTGTTTGATTCTCTTGGTTTATCTGAGTAAAGAACATCTTAACGAAAAAAAAAAACAATTCATGCAGTATGGCAGCCAATTCATCACAAAACATTCATTCACATTAACAATCCATCAGAAAACAGACCCTATTTAGTCCAAAATGAGTCCCTAATTTAGGATTCTAAAGTAGGCTGGTCATTTATAACAGACTTTTATTAGCTTCTCAAGGGCTTCTGGGAAATTCCTACCCTAAACAGATTATGGACAGTCAAAATTGTTGTCTAGGACTCTCCTAGATGTACAACCACCAACTAATTGATTAGTGAGGTTGGTTACTGAGTATTTAATGCTGACAAATATAAAGAGATGCAACCTCTTAGAATGGCTTATTTGAGAAGCTATGTCTCTAAAAAGCATGGAGCTGGTTAACAACACTAGCTGTACAGTGCAGTTTTCAGTCTGATGTCCATCTCAACAGCAGGCAACACGCATGATTGCTCAATTAACAGCTTGAGCTGCCCACACAAACAGTCGTGCCACAGCAACTGGCTTCCCACGAGCTGCTCGACAAACACTACTGAACACTGAGTGCTACGGAAAGACTGCTGTCTGAAATGACAAAGCATTAAGTCTTAGAACCGGACATGATGGTGCACTCATTTATACACCAAATACCATGTTGTATACCATTAGTGTCAGTAATATTTCATTTAAAAAATGCACACAGAAATCTTGAGAGATGCAAATGTCTAAGACTTGAAATTTGGGATTCTTTTAATTAAAATTGGAAAAAGAATTAGAAAAATCTTCAAGTTAAAGAAATTAATAGGGAACATTTCATATTATGCACTATTTCTAAGTGACTGAAATGTAAGGACATTTGTGACATTGACCATGTGAACTCGCTCAGGAGTTCTTGCTTTTGTTAAAGCTCGAGATGCTCTTTGAAACATCTCAAATCATGCCGGAGAACATGATCATCAGGTTTTGTTCATGTAGCTGCAGCACTGCTGTCATTAAAGCAAAAGAGACACAATCCAAATACTGAGATGCTCTCAAATTCATGTCAATTTTTAATTAAACTTTTCACTCACATTCTAATGCAGATAAAATTATTTGTAATGACAAAAATAATAAATTAACTAAATTTGAACTTTTAATTTAAATGATATAATTAGCATTGAAATAAAATCCACAAATTTATAAAATACACTAATTGTAAAAATACAAAATGTGCAAAACAATTTCAATCTGTATAGACCCCACTGAAAAGATCCTAAAAGACTGCTTTGTCTTCAGACTCTCCACCATTACCCACTCTGCTTTGTGATACTACTTGCTGCCCTCGTTTTTTCCAGGTCAGGGCACACAGCATCATGCAAAACTAGTGTAAAAAAACAAAAACAAACAAAGGAAGAAACAAATGCAAGGCCAGCGGGTAAGAGCTGGATTAAATGTAAAGTCAAGGCTTGCTAAAACGGTCCGTATTTCCTGTTTCCTGTTGTAATAAAATTGTAAAATTGCACCTGCTTAGTATCAGCAGACTTCACTTTAGATATAACCATACATGCGAACCATACAAATGATTTAAATTCCAAATCTCAAGATAACGCAATAATAATAATAATAATAATAATAATAATAAATAAATAATAATAATAATAGTTCTAGGCTTGTGCATCACTAAAATATTTGTATAAAAAATTGTTATTCTATTTTTTATTCAAATTTGATAATTAATTGTGTTTTCAAAGTATAATAATAATAAATTATTATTATTATATTTAATTATAATTATAACAACATTATTTTTTATTATTGTTGTTGTTATACTTGGCTTTAAAAGCACCATTAAATTACTAAATTAATAATTAGTGATCCACAGGCCTAGAACCCTTATAACATTCATAATATTTGTACCAATGTATAACTCAATTGGATGATTATTTTTTGCCTATTTTTGAAGGCATTAATTGTTTTTTGCCTATTTTTTTTTGCCTATTTTCACTGTACAGACAAACCCACATTCATTTTAATCAATTAAAAGACAATTTGGAAAGATATTTGATAAGTGATGAGTCAATAAAGTCAGTGAAGAGCTCAGACGTTAGGGGTTGTCCAAGGGTCAAACCTCGGACTTCTGTAGTTTGATACTGAACAGACAGAAAGACACAAGAAGCTCACTGTTAGTGCTGGAAACAACAGATTACTCTCTCCCTCTGATGCTTTGCATGTAGACTGCAGTGTTTCTGTGATTTGAGAAGACGTTTTGGGGGTGGAATGGGTGTTATCAACAGACCCCGCTTTCACACAATCTCGCAATCCACACAGGAAGCATTGTTAAGCTCTGCGCTGGAGTGACGACAACGACTGTGACGGCCAAAGGAAACAACAACCCCGCTGCCTTTTCTGTTGCCAGAGTACATCCAGATCAGGCGTGAGTTCCTACCAAAAAACATGCAAATGCAATGGTGCAAAAATGTTTTAATGGCACAAAAAGTCAGCAGCTAGGCCTGTGATCAGAAGTGTACTTTCTAGGGTGTGAAGTGACGTTCATGTAGGGCTATTAATGAGGTGCATCATTAATCACAAAACTATGCTGTGGCGTTTTTCCAAAAGGTTTCGGGAAAACAGTCTCTGGGAGATCTTACAAAATAAAGCAGATATTACAATAGAGCTCAACATTGATACTGTACGCAAACACTTTCTTAAAGACGTCTTCCTGGTCCCCTTCACATTTCTTGTGGAATGATTACGCAGATCTCGCCTGCAAATCTGTGCGCATTTAAAAGTCAGGTGCTGGGAAAACAAGCGCACCACATACAGATCGTGTTTCTCCTCTGAACGCCTTTGAACTGAGGCCACCGTGATCAGGGATTTTCTGCAACTGAGATCAACATGGTTTGTGAGCAGATCTACAGGCCTCTTTGTTGATACCAACTCTAAAACCCCAGTGGAATACATCCAACATCGTTCTTGTATTACATATCAACAATTCCACAAGGCCTGCCATGTTACAGCACTCAAATAAGTCTATTTTACCCATCAGTGTAGACCAAGTGCCACATAAGACTGAAATATGACATAGAAATAGCTGTTTTGCACATTGATGGAATGACAGTGTTTGAAAACCTACCGAGCTGCCTATCTAGTCAGCATTTTAGGGTGGTGATACACTGATCCTGGTTATTTAGCAGGTTTTTGACCATTATTAGAACATTGCACAATTGCACTGCTTGCCTGAATTAACCATAGTGCTAGCTTGCCTTGTGTCTATCCACAAACAGCCTTGTAAATTAATAAACATTGTGTTTCAAACAAATTGTGTGTGTTCTGAGAAAAAAAATGTGTACAAAAAGGATTATTCAACATCAGCATGTGTGTCCATCTCATTTGCTGTTGTTAAATTTTGTGTGTGTGTGTATATTAGGATTGGGCTGATAGACGCTGCCATCGTCCATCGCCGATTGCTGACAGACATCACGATGTTAAGCTGACATTGTGATTCCCCCCCCAGCCCCTCTCCCGCAATCCGCCGCATCCCAGTTCCTTGTTTGGAAAGGAAATGAAGTGTACTACGGAAACCCTAAAGGGAATAAATAGCCTACGAGATGGGAGGATAAAAAAATATTTCAATACTTTTTCTCACAATTATATCGTTGGGTAAGTATAGGCGACTGTATATAAATTGCGGGCATCAGGGAGCCACTATTGATACAGCTTTCGATTGCGCGCTCTCATTTTACTTTCACTTTCGAGATTCGCTATACATCATCCGATGCCAATTTGGTAGACATCGCCCAACCCTAATAGTCAATTGATTAAAATATTTAGTCGCGATTAATCACATGATTGTCATGAGTTAACTCGTGATTAATCGCAACTTAATCGCACATTTTTATCTGTTCTAAATGTACCTTGAATTAATACTTTTCAAGTTTTTAAAACTCTAATCAACATGGACATGGACAAATATGGATGTGTTATGCTAATGTATGTTTATTATTAGTGAAACCATACTCAACATAGAGCATGAAGACTAGACATGTTTCATAGGTCATAGATGTTTTTTAAATAACTTTTTCATGTCTATTAGACAAATGAAAAAAAGAACATAGAAATACCAGGTTCCCTTTACCTACTTCTCTTTCTTTGCACTGAGCAATTTACTTACACAAGCCTGTTTACATTATTTGCAGGACATTTTTTGGTGTGCACCCGGGTTCGATTGACGTCAGAGTTCGGTTCGTTTTTTATGATGTGAACGCGATCTTCCGAACTTGGTTGCGCACCCGCGAACCGTACCCGAGTCCACTTAAAAAAAGGGTGGTCTGGGGTACGGTTCAAGTGAACTCCGGTACGGTTCGCTGCTGATGTGAACGCAATCGTACCAAATCACGGAAGTCAACCGCTATAAATGACATATTATTTGATAAAAATGTGTTGTGTGTGTGTTTCTGTCTTTCCTGATAATAATATGAACACAGTCCAGCGGGGGCAGGGGGAGGGGGGAGCAATCGAACTCAGGTTCGGACCAGGCAAGCGAACCAAGTGTGAAAGCACGCTTAAAGCGCTACTCCTCTCAGCCGCTCGCTGAAAAGAGCAGACGCAAAACCTCAATCGCTAAGTTGGCAACACTGTCAGCATCTCCATTTCTCCAACTACGGGCTAGGCAACGGGTCAAACAGGAAATGCGCTCTGCATTAATCGCACATTAATAAAATTAGCGCCGTTAAAATGAGTTTGCGTTAACGTGTTAATTTTGACAGCCCTAATATATATATATATATATATATATAGAAATCATTCTAATACGCTGATTTGCTCAAGAAACATTTCTCATTTTTAATGAATGTTTATAATAGCTTCATATTTTGAATTTTTGTGGAAAACTTATTTTTTTTCATCATTCTTGCACAAATATAAACTTAAAAAGAACAGCATTCTATTTGAGTATTTACAGTCACTTTTGAATAATTGAATGTATTGTTGCAAAATTCTAAATTCTATTGCTAAATACTCATTTTTAAAAAATGGAATCTTACTGACCCCAAAGTTTTCCTCATTTGCAAGTTGCTTTGGATAAAAGCGTCTGCTAAATGAATAAATGCACAATGTAAATCATCATAGTGACAAATGGAAAAACCCATATTAATCTATGACTAAAATGATGTCTAGGTGGGCAGCTCACTAGGTTTTCAAACATTGCCACAGCTTCTCATGTAGAGAGACTAACCCAAACCGCAAAGGAACTAGAAGAACTTCCTAACAGATGTCATTTCTTGACAAATGCTTTGGAGGAACAAAGAGTTTTACTTCCTAATGCACATTCTACACTATCTTTATTATCTGTATGAGTGTACTGTATCAGACACTCACCACATCATAGCCCGTGGGAGCTCTGTTTCTTGAGGCCACAACCCCTACGCCAGTGATCGGGTCCATGGGCATCTCTGGCAGGGCGTCTGAAAGGTCCCGCACCTCAGGCATCATGGAGGAATTCTGAGGAGACAGGAGCGTTACAACTTTTACACACTAAACAACAAGCCACTTGACAGAACATGCCAGATCCGTGTTTGTTTTGTCTACAAAAGCAGATGAATTTATTCTTTGTTAGACTCCACCTCCCTTGGTTACGGTTACCAACTCAGAACATCCCATAAGAACGAACTGGGGATTTCCATTTTTCAGTAAAATTTAGTCAAAGTGCCATTTTTATCTGTCATTAAGAAATTGTTAAATTATACCTGCACAAATTGCAGAGACTGCAAAAGAGATAGGTCTCATTTGAAAGCAATTACAAGTGAAATCATTACTATTCGTGAACTCTTTAGTTGCTATTGACAGGCAATCAATACAAAAATGTAAAGCGGTTAAGTTTAATTTACTTTATTAAATCAACTTTAAAGTTTCATAACTTTAATTTACATTGGAACAAATGTAGGTGTGTTTTCACTGATGTTTATTTGCGACACAAACCGCAGCATAGGGCTGGACGATATGGCCAAAATTTATATCACGATATATTTCTTAATTTCGGTCGATACGATATAATTCCGATATCGATATGAACACTATTTAAAAAAGCCTATTGAATTATTGTCCAGCCCTACCGCAGCATGAACTAAACATTTAATTAAAGATCTGGAAATGGAAGAAATCATAATAATGATTCCTTGAATCACTTATAAGTAACAACATTTGACCACATTTTTCCATAAAATTGTTTAAAACCACCCAAACACACAGATCATCTACATACTTGCATTAAAAAAGGCTTCACAGCATTGATGGCATTTTAAAAGGCTCTCTTAGTTTGGGCATAAAATGATACCAAATATAGCCTATATTGTTTGTGAGCAATATAAAAGTGGTTTGAACATCACTTTTCAAATGGTACTAATATGTACCATTTAGGTACTGATATACTCTTTAGGTGCTATTACAGTATGTACTTTTAAGCTACTAATATGCATCTTTTAGGGGTAAATAAGGTGCAAAAGAGTTCCTTTTGAAAAGATACCGCCCCAGTGACAGCTGTTATACCTTTATTTCTGAGAATGCACTTACTGTAATATTCACATTTACACAAGATGATACCCAAATATATCTCAGTGCGACATCTCAAAGCAGAATAAAACATGATGGCACCGCCAAAACATCAAGACAAACTGACAAATGAAACCAAGTCACTGTGTACAAGTCAAGACATGTTTGAACAGAGAACAATGTTCTGGAGAACAGAAAAAAAGTCTAGTGGGAAAAGCACAAGAGGGTGGGGATGAAACACTGAGCCAGTCGAGCAAGCCTTTATATAGCCTTTCCTTATCAACTATTCCTCAAACTAACACACTGACTACATCAAGGGCAGAAAATCTCAATTACAAGACCATTACAATTAGCTAGATTCGGATAATGAAGTCTATTTATTCACTTTGAGATAAGTACACGCACTTCCAGAACATCTGAAAGCACATAATGAACAAGAACATGCACGTTCCTCTAAAATCTAAACAGTCTTGCGGGTTAAAACGGGAAACTTGCATGTCTACCACAGATCAACAGATTAAACAAAGAGTTGAGGAAACACTAGGTGTGTGATGAACACTACAGCCACATTCTGGAGGCGTTCTGGTATCATCTCCATCCTTTGTGTTTGCCTTTATCAGGAGACACTTCACAAATCAACTGGAGTCTGGGTTTGTTCTTCCTGAGCATCTGAAGAGCTGTGTAGTTGAATACAAATGAAACACAGTCTTTGGATGGAGTTAAGAGCTTTGGAGGCGCCTTGGCAACCAGGCCTGCCCTCCGCGATCTCCCAAACAAGCCACAAAGAAGCTGTGTCAAATCGCTGGTGTGCATGGAAGCAGCTTGCAGCAAGGCAAACAGCAGACAGTGGCGAAGAAAGAGAGCGAGATCAAACTGAGAGCATGTGAGAGTTCTGCCAGAGCCAAGAGAGAGAGTTAAAAAGAGGTGTGACATTATGATCCCTGAAGTCGACAGTGAGAAAACCAAACAGGAATAGACTGCATTCGTTAACAGGGAAGGAATGCAGTTCTCGCAGAAAAGAAAACTGTATATTCTAGGTTAGTTTCTGAGGTGAATAAAGACTTCATAACATGACTGATTACATAAATGACAAGATTTCATAGACGCCTTTTCAACTGGTCTGCTTTTACCCCAAAAAGGCTGTTCTGAGCCAGACAAATCTTAAAACCTACAGGTTTAACCTCAGTGAAGACTGGGATAATGGAGATGGGATGATGTAGGGCTGCATGATAATGGTTAAGTGGCATGGTTGTCAGGTTGGGAAGATTAAGTTAAGCACTGGGCAGAAAATGTATCAATTGAAGTAAAAAGCTCTGATTGGCAGATTTAAACTCTTGAAATCTGGCAACCACAACCATGAAAGCTCGTGGAGGCTTATTACCCATGCAAGATAACACAAATGCCAAATAAACAATGAAACTTTTTCAAACAAGTCACATCATTTCAATCTTAAGTTAGAAGCATCGTCCGGATCTGAAAGAGATTTGCAGAATCCAGCCAATGAAAGAGGTAAATGGTGGAAGGCTTCCAACATCCATTTATTATTATTGAGCTAGCCATTTATTCATAACACATTGATATTCTGATATATGGAGCCTCTTTTTATGATGCATATGATTTATAGAGCCAGCAATGCAGGTCAGCACAGCACAGCACAGCAGCACAGTGTTTTGGATGCTGTGCTGTTCTACTACTGTTCTACTGCACATCAGGCCTTCAAACAATAGTCAAGGCTTCCTCGGACAACCAGAATCAGCAGTAAAATGCAGTGTCTACATTTACATGCAACCTAACAATCGGTTTATAATCAGATTGATAGGCCAAACAGAATAAAAGGTCTTCATGTAAAGCACCTGCAATGCACATGAAAATAGCTATGTTTACATGCACGCAAATAATGAGTAGGGATGTACCGATACCGATACTGGTATCGGTATCGGGCCCGATACTGGTCTCCTGTACTCGTACTCGTTAAAATGCCCCGATACCAAACACCGATACCACACAGCATGTGATAAGCGCCATATTCAGACAAAGAAACACCAACAACAGACAGCAGAAAGGAGTTAAGGATGTCTACTACGAAGTATATGTATGCAATGAATATAATGTTAAACATTCAGTATTAACGCCTGTATAGCTGATGCGCGCGAGCTGATAAGCAAAGCGCGCTGAGTGGATTGAGTGAATATACCTTTCTCACAGACATCACTGGAAAGTTTGTAGTTCGGTCGGATATGTCAAAAACAAGTAAGTAAAACAATGCACAAGTTACT